ATGCGTATTGTATTTGAAAATCGACACGAGTGAAATTTGAAAGAGTAGGTAAAACAATTTTCAAAAATGTAAATTCGAGAAGAGTATTGTAATGAGGTGTTAATGTAGATTTATTCAAACACACCTAAATGTCTAATTGTCTTGTTCTAAATTTAGAGACTACACGAGTTTTATTTCCTAAATCTTGTCGATGTGCAATGTTACACTGGACACTGTTTTTCGTGCAAATCCCCACAGTTGACTCTCGTGTTTGATCCAGCTTAAATCCCATTGGCCGGAAACGCTTTTGACCGCCCGTTTGCAAGAAAGGCAACGACACGTTTGCTACCGACGATTTCATGACTACGACGAAATATTGTAGTTTTTTCGAGCAAATTGCCTTCAAACTGGCAGAGAAACATGCTACCAGTAATTATCCGTAAGAATCGTAGTCTCTCTGTCCATTCCGTTGAGCATTTTCACTGAGAATATAAAATAATGCATTAAAAAAATTACAAAGAAATAGGAGTATGAAATCCTTAAGATTCATCGTGCATATAAAAAAATTGTCCCATACACATAGGAAAACGAAATAAATTAAACACAGTTTTCACATTGCTGGCAATGTATAATTAGTATTCGGCTGTATTTTCATCAAAAGAGGTTCTGCAAGTGTTTGAGGCCCGTTTTCTTGCATGTGTGATGTCTGAATAGATTATCTAAGAAAAGAACTCGATCGTCAGTCATATTTCAGTTGAGAGTGTTTAAATGAAATACCCTTAGCAAAAGAAATATTTCACCACTGTACGAACTGATCAGATATGTTACGTATCTCTTTCTATTAAATAAAGTTTGTCATTTCAAGGCGAGTAATTTTAAGAAGAGCCGGGATTTTGCCGTAGTAACCTTGGCGTTCTCGCCAACCAGTTTCGTTGCTGTATTTCTTCATATTTTCCAAAATTGTGGGATCTTACATCCACACTGACTGTTCTTATGGCAGTCAGCTCAAAACTACTACAGAAAATCAACAGGTTTAGAACAGGAACACTCTTCTTTTTTTCCGGCGTTTCAGTTGGTAATCGATAAATCAGATCTGTAGTCATTCAATTTTCTTTCTTTTTTTAGCTGATCTCGCCAAAAATACTTTCCCGGCTTCACAAAGCTATGAATATGTAAATGTCTACCGTAAAAATTAAGACAATGTTACTCGCTGAACTGAACTGTCAGCAAAGTAACAGAATTAGAAAAATAATGACTTCTAGAAAGTTAATTTCGGAAAAAAGACATTAACTACTCAACAGCCTTTTCATCACTATCCCAGCCGAGGGAAATAATGTCAAGTAGCATTACTGCGGGTCCAAAATATGGAAATAAACCATCTTTAATATTGAGCCCAATAGTCACATGAAACATATGACTTTTTATATTGTTTTGAATTGGTTTGAAATAACCCTTTGATTACTGATCAAAACAGTCTCAATTTCCTTAATTTCTGTTTACTTCAACAAAAATCAAAAAGTTTTTTTAATCAATTTTTAAGCGTTTTATTCTTGTTTTATACAAGCACGGAGATCATATCTGTTGTAAACATTTTTAGTCTGAAAGCAGGAGTTTTTTTCCGCGAAAAAACAACAACGGAGGGGAGAGGATAACTACATAATTGGTTTTGTAATCTATCTTTTCGAACCTTTGCTCTATAACCGCCGTGTTTTGGGTGCGTCAGGAAAGTGTCAAATCTGACCTGTAAGTGTTTTAAATGAGTTTTAAATACACTAATACAATCGTTCGTATTATGTGAGGAATCACGCGATTGAAAGCTAATTCTTTTTACGACGAAGAAAAAAATATATTTTTCATCGATGACTGAAAAATTGCCAAAATAAATATTTCTTCGACTTTGCGATTTGTAACTTTGTAAGACGTGAATATAATTTAAACTATCTCTCAACAAGTATACCCAAAAGATCAAACAACAATAAGTTGGCTTGTTTCTGTTTTGGAATTTTCAAAACCCAACAAACAAATACAGAATTTAAACTAAACATTTAGGGCGCCCTCTGTCTAGAATCTTTTTTCTAATCAGGCTTATAATTTTTTATGTCTATTGGAGAAAATTCTAGCGTAGCTCCGTACCTCTCGCCCAGTAATATAAGCAGCAGAATGTCTTGTAGTGAAGTTGTCAGATGCCAAGCTGAATAATATAGTTCTGGCTAAGCTCTCGGGTGTTGTTATCCATGTCTTTTCTTTGATTATCACGCAAAGTGGCCAAGAAAAACATCATCTAGTTTTTACTCGCAGTTCAAGGATCTGAGCTTGCTAAACACCTTGATTTATAATGCGATGAGATGTTATAGAAAGGAATGCTATGTAGAAAGATGAGGTCTGATTCGGGGCTAAGACGCTATGTAGAAAATCAAACGCCCTGGGGGTACAGTTTGTGATACTTGCGCGTGTATTTGTAATGAAAAGAGCGTGATGACAATTTGATGTTGGGGTTATCATTCAAAACGGAAGTAAACAGCAATAATCCTGGAAAAGAAGATATACTGAAGTCACCCCTGAATTTTGTACGCTTGTTCTTCTCTGTAACATTAAAATTGATTAAATTGTAACAGTCAGGCTCGTGTGATTTCCAATACCGAGTTGACGGCAACTTTTCAGTGGGGTCATTCATTTCGCGGCATGATGATAAGAGAACGACTTTCACCAAATTAGATTGACCTTGAAAATGGGATGTAATTGAATCTTTACAGGAAATGACTGTCTTGTGGTTTTTGTACGCTGTACTTTAGTGGTAAGCGATCTTCAAGATAGGGCGAAATCTTTATTTTAATGGCCGCTACTCAAATAAACAAACTTGACGTATATTCTTCCCCAGGACGCTATGATTATTTGCCAAACTTTCGAACCATTTCTGTGCCAAAAGGCTTTTGTGCCTGCGTCCAGACGCTGGATACATTGGACGAAACTCGAAACTATAAGATGCTTTCTATAACAAAGCTTAATCGTGACGAGGAAACAATCATTGAGAGAGAATGAGTGAGCTTGAATGGTGAGGTTCCGGTCAATCGAACTTTTTTTAAAAAACAATGAAAGTTTTAACGCATTTTGGCTTCATATCAGCAGAAGCCGACTTTTGGGATATACGTTCCAAATTTTATCATTGACTTCCAAGGATTCTTTGGGGACTGGATATACTATTAACTGAACTGAAGCTTTAAGTTAAGGAGAGCCCTGTGCACCCCTTTCTGACAACAAATTGAAGAAACTCACCAACACAATCATGAGACTATTTTCACTAAAATCGCTTTTTTGGATGACCTCTAGTACGTAAATCCAATCGGCAACGCTCTGCAGGCCGCAATGGTCAAAAAAGCCTAGAGGAGCAAGAAAATGAACTTATCTAACATTTTAGTTTCAGGTGAATTTTTCACTGATTTTACTTGAGACAGAATGATCAAAGAAGTAAACAATTTCACTTGCTGTGAGCTTAGATTGTTTATTTTTTAGGTAACGACGTCTACAGGGTGAAGTCCTTTTCATGTCTTTTCGTATTCTTATGTGGCATGGGCCGGGGCGGGCCCACATACAAATCAGTCAGTGTTTTGAGTACACATATCGCGCTATTGAAGTTACGGTCTTACACGATTGATTGGTCATCGTGTAAAATCAGGGAAATTATCAAGAGTCATTATCAACACTTGGACAATATATCTGCTCTAAGCTCAATAAAAAAAGAAACATTTGAACAAACTTTATACTACCAATGACTTGGTCATAACAAACACTCAGTCGCTTTTCAAAATGACCTCAATCTTTTACATTGTACCATCTCAAAATTAGTACCACTGTGTACTTTTTATCAATTTTTAGATCTTTTTATAGGGTCTCATGTAGGGTGCCTTTGTCAGGGTAGTAGAGACTGGAGTATTATGAGCTATTATGTTTCTTGGAAATAAAGAAACATTTAAGAAGACAAACCAATGTAAACATCCTACAGGAAACTACGAGGAGGCAGAAAACATGGCCGCCATATTGTATATTCAAAGCCGGGATTCAGAGTCTCCGGATTTTAATGCAAATCAAACAGAGGTGGCTGTGGTGCCACTTTTCGAGGATTAACGTTTTATTTATTGTTATTTACTGTTTTTCTTGTTTTGACTTTAAATTTAAAATGAAGGATTTGCGTTATTCTAGAGCAGATCATCATAAACAATGTAACCAGATTTTTACAGTCCCCCGCTTTCTCTCAAATAACAAAGCAAAAGGGAAGGTTAATGGACAAGAGAAAATGTCTCATGGTATTATCGAGTGCTAATCCAGTGTATAAAAGACTCTATGGCTCGATTAGCTGATATAAATGCCAATATATAGAATGACCCCACTATGAAAGATAATAGCTTAGTCGACCTCAAGACTATTAAAAACAATGCTGCTATTTCAAGCATTCAATGAAGCACTACTTCATTGCTTGCAGATCTGGAGAAAGAAGTAATAACTTTCGGTTACTATTAGTGGGGTAAAAATTCAATACTGAAATTCAACCGCGTAGGCCAATTTCAATCGATGCTGTTTCCTTCAGATTTCTACGCTGTTGGAAAGATTCGGTGAAGTCAAAATCGCTTCACTAATCCCACTACATCTCACAGAGGGCTTCGACTTAAGGGATTTTTGTATTGTTCGGAACGGTCAAACAGCGAAAGTGACGAAATGAAATAAAGAAATTAACGAACTGTTGTATACACGTTTAATTGAGTTGATTAAACTAAATTAACAACAACATTTCTTTATACAGCATTGTACAATCCTTTTGTCGGGCCGTTCGCAGGCGGCTCTGGTAGAGAATCCTACGCTCGGCGCGTGGAAAAGAACCCTTCTGAATGAATGGATGAAAACTGGGAAATTTACATATTTACAGCACTTATAAAACACACGAATAAGTTACACTCACGAAAGGCCCTTTCGACCAAGTCTGATCCTAAGTAACGACATATGTCAGTCAGAAGATAAACAAACAGTTATCAATGGTACAAGGCGAATACATGTGCCAAGATTACTGCATTCAAAATCCACATCGGAAGTCCAAACTGTGAATTGGGGCTACTATTGACATAATAGAAGAGCTGCGGCACCGTAGGAAAATCAGGATCACGAGTCTTTCTGGTCTTCGGTTTACAGAGGTTTTCATAATTTGAGCGAATACTTCGACAGTAGCGTTCCTCGCGACCATCACAGTCGCATTCAAGAAGCGCACTCCCTAGCTTCGACCCCAGTAATTCTTTTTGGCTTTCTTTACAATCTTGACTACATTCGACGCCAGAAATCAAGTCGCTACACCGCCTAAGAAAGTTATATTGATTCTTCTTGCAGTTTTTGTCCTTGTTGCATCGTTTTCTTGCTGCAGTGCAACTGAAAATCGTGTCGTTTTTGTCGCTACCGTTAACGCACCGTTTCAGGCGTGCTATTATAGTCAAGCAAACCCCGTCTCCGGGTTTACAAAGGCACGATTCCACGGCCTTCCCTTTCGGTGAAGAAGTAAGATTTTTGATGGTCTGTACACACTTCGACGGACATTTGGGCTCCATCGAACCAGTGATCTCGGGAAATGGCCCATATCTGGGATCATACCTGAAACCTAACGCCTTTTTACATTGTGGTGTGAAAAGTCCACTAAGCTTTATAGCGCATGGAAAGTCATGTTGACAACTTGACAAAGCATCCCAGCAAAATGATTCACTTCGTGAGAGAGCAAGCAGATTCATCAGCCATAAAATCCACCGCATAATGCTGCACATGAAGGAAGGATACTCGTTCGCTCTGTCGTGTCGGGTACAAGTATGTAACAATGGGAAAGATGATGCCAGAATATATACCGTCGGATTGATTGATTAATTATTTGACATAAGGTGAAATCCGATAATAGGTTACGATGAACGGACCAATAGGAGAAAAAGTCTCTCGTGAGACATGACCTCAGGAAGTGCGCATTGCTTGGATAAGTTTTCAGTTGTCTCCATTCCTTGTTTCCTCATTGAATTACCTTTATTTCAGGGTATTAAGAAGCATTAATGGACAGTATACTTCACTGACGAGTATCGGTCTCTCTCTCCAGTCGCCAATCTTGTTAGTATCCTGGTGTACTTGCTTCCCAACCAAGATGGATAAAAGGATCCCTGGTGGGTGCCTGCCCATCTTTGCTGTCTTCTCAATGAGCCGCGAAACAAGTGACTACCTGACAACCTCTGTATGAGCGCTATTGACAGCTAGAACTGCGGAAATCACCAGCAACGAACTGACTAAATCGCTTTAACAGTCCCTTTGAAAAAAAAAAGTTGAGATGTACCTTTTATTTCATTGACATGGAAGTGAGATCAAATTAGTTTCTTTACTGAAGCGATATGGAATGATTTTCTAACCTTAAACAAGAGAACGCTTCAAAAGCTCTGAAGGGCTCTCGAGTTGATTAGTTAGATGTTTTGTAAATATTAATTGTGATTTAAGGCGGCGGTGATTGAACGGACTGGCATAAAGGTTTATTGGAATTGCGTGTCAAAGTGATGTCTTTGTAGTTTTCACGGACTGCAAAACTCATTTGAGGGCATTTCTCAGCAGGTTTGCCATTGACGGTGGCCGGCGTAAGCGTGTATTCATTGTTCTCAGAGGCCATGAAAATCATCGACTCGTTCATTTCTTTTTTAAATACTTTAAAGTCAGCCAATCAAGTGCAGAGTTTTACAGAGTCCTTGAAAATAATTTGAACAAAAATATAACTGAAAAAAAAAGATGTTTATTTCTCATTTTGTTCTTTAAAAGTTTCATGTTTCTGAATTTCCTGCAGAGTCAGTGGAGAGAATCTGCTGATATTAATGTCTATCATTCCTAATTGACCAGTGACGCTCTTTTTATTTGTGGAGCACGGCTGAAATCAAATTAAGCGAAAGACGAAAGATTAAAATGCATGCCTACACGTTTTTCAGTTACTTTTTGTTCTCGTCTTTCGACTATTTCGGTCGCAACTTTGGAACAAATAAGTCCCTTAATAGTGTTTGTGTCATCACAGAAGTAGTTGCCACTAAAGGCTTTTCAAACCATCAATTTAACAGGTTATTATTTAGCATAGGCTGGGCTGCCGACACGAAATCTGCAGCTCCAGCTCATCTGCGTCACGCTATATTTGCTATTAGTTTTAAAAAGCTAAAATGTTTAGTAGAAACAATCAAATTCCAATGAACAATTGCCCAGTTTTGGTATTTTCCACTATATTCAGGAATTTACAGTTTTTTCTGTCGTCTGTTGCTACTGATGGCTAAGATGGACATAGATTAAAACTTGAAAAAAATTAGGTCAGCGTTTTCAAGTTAACGTTTACATACAGTATGTTATGCCTACAAAAATCACGAAAAATAATATGGTTAGTTCTCCCTTGTGAAATTTTTTTGATATCTTAGTTTTGACTCTACAGAAGCATTTCATGCATAGGTAAAAGCAAGAGCAATTACTTTAGCACAGAATACCAAACTCAGGAATATCCTCGTGATCCCCTAAGTGGCTGACATCGTTTTCTTCTGGCACTTTCCTTCTGACACTGCCCAGCACATAATCTTTGATCGATCAATGTTACCACTCTTTATTCAATCAGTTGTTGTTGGAGCAGTAAAGTTATTTCTCCACGAACGACACAAATTACTGGTAAGTAAGTAAAGAACATTTTATGACATAACTTGTTACTATGGCAACATTATAACCTGTTAAAACTGTTGTTTTTAAATCCAGCGTTTATAAGGCCCATCAAAAAAATAAGATGATCCCTCTGGGCTTGAACCAAACTCAAAAGGTGAAAATATAACACATATTGTTACAAAATGTATTCTAGTTATAAGGCAAACTGAAGAAGCTTTAAGAGCAAATGAGACACGTACACCAACCCACGGCCTGACCAGTACCTCACGCATGCGCACAGCCATATTACCCCTGCAGTAGCAGCCATACACGGACAGCTCAGTTTCTACCTTTCCATTAGCCTGTGTACAGACGTCCCCCCTCCCTTTCTGAGGAGGGCTACCTTTCCATGCCAATTTTTATGTTACCATTTTGCCGATCGACCTCTCCAGCATTTTTGTTCCCAGAGGAGCGTTCCTACTGGTCAGTCCCACTAATTTGATCGATCCTAGGTGCTAGCCGAAAGGATCACAACTCATGCCACAAAATTGCGTTTTCATTTCTTCTCCTTTGAGATCAGTAACCCACCGCCGTCTATTTTCTATTCCTAATTCAACCCATTTTATACTGATCCCCGAGGTCTACAAGAGATTCAGCATTAGAGGGCTGTTACTGTGGTTTGTACTGAGTTTTTCAAGTTATATCTTTATCCCATACTGAAACTTGCTACTTTCCTCAATTTTTAGCAATTTAACCGATAAACATTGACTGTAAAACGATTACAGCCATCTTAAATTTTAGAAGACTCTAACTGGGCGTGGTTTTGCAACCCTTTCCACGAATGTTTTTGACTTTCATTAATGAATTTTCGACCTGCTGTAAGGCGCGACGAAGACCTGTAATTCCACAATTGATTTGGTTTAAATTTCCTGACACTGTCACGCCAAGCCCTGTGTTGGTTCGGCGTTCATTTAATGCAGGCCTCTCATTTTATCGTAACCTGCTGTTGCTTATTGCCTCATTTTAAGACTGAATCGATTATTTCACTTATTCATTTTATTTTAACCTTGATTTGGCAAGAGTAGAATGATTATAAGCGAATGTGTGAGAAAATTGGTTTTGTTAAAAAATGGAAACAGGATCGGGCCCATAACTCGGAGTGACACAGCCTCTTGTCCAACAAATATAACAAATCTTCAAAGACCCACAAAATTATTTGGAGCAAAGGACATTTGATTGGGACTGGGGTCGAGTTTATACCGCAATGTGTCAGCGGTACCTACCCGTTCGCAAATGCACTTTTCAAAATTCCATAATGGCGGACGCGGGGGAGAAAGTGTTGGAAGTGTTGCTTAACAAGAAAGATCTTTTTATGGTAGGTAGATAGTCCTTATTTCTACACCTGGATTGTATCCACCATCGTTGGACATCGGTCGGCTCATAAATCTGCTTTTTGTCCACAGGTAATGATATCCCACTCAGGGACAATCCGCGACCTGTGTGACGAAATTGAAAAAGTTGCACGCGAGGAGTTTGGAGAGTGAGTTCGATTTGTTGTTGACGGTTTCCCTTCTTAACCTTTTGTTTTATTTCTTTTTGGAATTTGATGAAAGTAAAAACCTGAGCTTGTAGTGAAAGTGATCCCCGTCAAATTACACATTTTGTTGCATGCTAAGGCAGTTTTCGTTTTTAACCGGTGGTACAAGTGAATGATTTTCCCATTCTCGAAGGTTTTAAAAGCCATTGATTTTTTAAAGCTGTACGGATGTGCTTGTGGAAACAAGAAGGATGCTATCATCACTGCATGCAAATGAAACCATCAAAATAAAAACACAAAAAAGAGTTTTGACAAGCTGTTCCTAACTAGAAAAGCAGTTACTTGAAATATTATTTATTTTTTAACATAAAAAATGTAGTTCTGATGGTGTGGCTGTCCATACAAAAAGCACAAAAACAAACAAACAAATACAGTTGTAGAAGTCAGGGCTGTCACTAATATTTCAAGTTGCTGGGTAAATACAACAAGTAGGCAAGAAGTCAAACAGCTAGGGATTTCTTTTGGTTCTATTTTTCTTCTACTTTCCTATGAAAGTAGCTGGGGGCCATGTTCTTAGTAGCCAGGGGAAACGCCTGGTCCCTCCTCTTAATGATAGCCCTGAGCAGTTGTCTGAAAATATGCAGTAATGATACTGCTGATGCTATTATTATTGTAGTAGTAATTGAGAAGATGTACACTAGTCCTTCGCACTCAGATAGGAAACTTAAATGGCTTGTAAAGAGTAACACAAAATAGTGTAAAAATAATTATATAAAACTGTTCTAGTGAGGCCTTAAACTGCTGTTTCAAAAGTAAAAACTAAAATCCAAGCTTTCACCAATCAATGGCATCATCAAGCAGTAGTTTAAGGCCTCACTGGAACAGTTTTATATATTTTTAATTATGCTGCTGAAGGACAACATGAATAGATTAGCGAACTAGTGTTATTACTGTTTGTTGATGGGTGACCCATTGTCTTAACCATCACATTAGAATTTACAATTACAGCCTTTAATGAAATTTCAAGGATAAAATGGACTCTACTCTAACACAGATGAACAGCTTATGTTAATTCCAAAAGTTCCTAGCTTCTTTGTGGATAAGTATTTGATAATTATACATCAAATTTTGTGCTCTCCAGGAAAGGACAAGTCACAGTATTAGAAACTAAACAAGGAGCAAGACTTCCGGAGAGATATAAAGTGGGAAACCTTCTTAAAAACGAACACAGAATTATGGCTTATTCTTCAGGTAAATTATTTATATTTTAAACTTTGTGTTATAGAGCTCAATTAAATTCAAAATGCTGTGTACCAGTAACTGTACAGCTGTATTATATAGTGCCACTGGCCTGAAAAATACTTACAATTCATAATTTGTAGGAGGCACCCTAAATTCCCCTGTGTAGAGACCAGAAGTATTGTTTTTGTTGTTGTTGTATTGGTAATATGCAGAATCTTCTCTATTTGAAGAAACTAGGTATACAAGGTGGTCCTGGTTAATTTTTCAGCTTGCGCAGAAGATGTTCTTGGGTAATTCTGGTTCAGCAAGCACCATGATGGTATTGAGAAATTCTGGAAATACATCATTGACCAGTCAGCATTAGATTCCATCCTCCAGAACCACCTTCCCCTCATAGCTACTTAACCGTAAATCACTACAGCTGTATGTTCAGTGCTTAATGCTAATCACTATAACAATTTTCTTGAAGTTTTAAAATGTAATAACCTAAGAGCATAGAAAAAAGAGATTTCTTATTGAACAATAGAAGACTTACCGCAAAATACATGTAAACGTCATATCTAAGGTGGGGGCAAATGTAGAGAGTGCTATTGCTAGTAGTGTTCTCTAGGGAACAGAACTAAGATAACTAGTAATGAAGCACACCCACAGCCACACAAACGACTCAACCTCAGACGTGCTTACATGTAGATCCGTGCATGCTACAGGTCAAAATTAAATTAAGATCAAAATTTTTTAAGCTACGGCTGTAGGTTTATTCTCAATTTCCATTGTCTCCTAGTCCTTATTCACGAATAATTAAGGTGAGGAGACGAAGGAAATTGAAAATCAACCCAGGTTAAAATATATCAACTTGGGCCCAGTTTTTGAAGGCCAATAAGCATTTAACCTGGGGTTAAATTTAACCCGGGCTTCTTTTCTTTTGTCCATAAGCTTTTTCTCGGATAATTTTCTCTGTTATTTCTAAAGCTTCCAATAATTAACCTGTAGACATAAAGAATTAAAACTGAACTGATTTTAAAGCTTTCATGTCCAAATTCAAATCTCGCACTAACCCTGGGTTATCTTAACCCAGCTTTGAACAACTTGGCCCTGAATTTAATTTAATGTGTAATGTATACATTGTATGAAGCCCTCTCAGGGTAAAATTCTGGCAAGTGACATGGCCTTGAAACAGCGACATAGGATGGCAAAAATGGCGACAAATGACAAAAAAATGGGTTAAAACTTCAACACGAACAGCGGCAGAGAAAAGCACAAATACAATAGTGAAATACCGCCAGCCACATGGCTTCCTCTTCAATACGTGAAATGACAGGTTTTAAAATTCAAACTAGGGACAAATGTAACCCTCCTAAGAGGACCTCATTTTATTATACATACTGATTAGTATAGGTAATAGCGTGATTAGTGGTGATATTTGGCATAAATACCACGAGTGATATTTCAAAATTGTTATACGTAATTTCACGAGCCTTTAGGCGAGTGAAATTTGAGACAATTTTGAAATATCACGAGTGGCATTTATGCCAAATATCACGTATAAATCATGCTATTATTTGTTTATACTGCTAACCGCAAAAGTTTTGTAATTTTCACATGTAGGTATTTCAAATTAAGCTGAAATACCACTGCTCTAAGCCAATCAAATTGCAGAAATTTCTCATGTAGTAGTATAAAAATACATAGTCTTCATGTAAGACTTCATAGATTGAAATACATAGGACAGTCGACTTAAGTTATCAATATGCATATGCCAATTCACCAAGAGCACTTTTTTCCTCAGTTTTATCTCTTTCTGGCTTTTAAACAACACCTGCTACAATTTTTTCAAAGGCTTTTCTTTTTTAACCCCAAATAATAATGTTAACAATGTGATAGCTATGTGTTGTCATGCACAATGTATGATACATTTATAGTCTTCAGGCTGTATATTTGAATACAGTACATTTAAAACTGGAACACACTAGGTAACATGCCACTGTGACAAGTTACTTCTTGTTTACAGGTCGGGTAAAAAGTTGCACGACATGTTGCAGTGACAAATTGTTTCTTGTGCACTGGATAATTTTTGTGAAAATCTTTGTCTCTGCTACACTGAATTAAACTCAATCTAATTTGATTTTGTGGAACTTGTTGTGGTGAGTAAAATTCTGTTGAAGAGACAAGTACAATCATTTTATTTTAAAAAAAATTCTCCAGTGTGCACAAAGTAATTTTTGATGTAACATGTTGCCACAATACATGTTTCTGCATTTTGTTCTGACCTCAAGGGCATTTGAGTGCATGTGCATTTGGCACGTTTAATATGCACTGGATTATTTACAAGCTCAACAAATGTTACTTTCATTCATTTTGTTATTCAATACAATGTAGAATTACATGTACATTGTAGTACTGTAGATCACAGGATGAATTTCATGAACATGTATTATTTAGCAATATATCCAACTTTATTGTCTCCCTTAGCCTCTGACAATCGTTGTCTTGTAGACTTGTTTGATTAGAAGCCCCTGTGTATTGATGAACTTGTAACAAGTAGATTAATTTTGTTTGTGCAATCCTTTAAAAGCTTAATTTAAGTTAAGTTATATGCAAATCCTGATCAAAACAGGGTGTTAATAAATCTTCTGTAGGTTTTACTTCAACACATAAAAGATTTGAAATCCATTTCTAGCAGATAGTAAACATCAGAATCAAAATGACAATTTTTTAAATGAAACCTTTGCAGCTACATTAATTTTTGCTAAAAATCACGTGGGACAAAAACACCTTGCTGGAGAGCATACAGTACGTGTATATGTAAGATGCAGTGGGGCAAGAATAACAACATGATTTCATCATTTACTTTTACCTAAGTTTATTTTCTTTTTCCGAGATCCCACTGCATTATTTGCTTTTCACCTAGGTGTTTTTGTACCATGTAACTGTTAGGCTGGCAAGGGCCCATGAGAACTAAATTTGTATAGATAAAAACTTACAGGTATGTATGAAACTGACCCCAAACTACTTACTTTTGTGCATGCCAGATACACTGTATACTGAAAAACAAGTTAAGGGAAATCTTGGCCTCATTGTACAATTTGATCATTGTTGTTTTCTTTAAACATTCTCTCTATTATCTTGAAATTCTACTAGTACAAATAATTGATACAGTCAAACCTCCATGTGTGACAACCTCTTGTACATGATCACCTCCCGTAAGCAACCACTTATCATGAAACCCCAAACGTTTCCCACTCAAAGACTAACAGTTGGAACCTCTCATCAACAACCACCTGCTGTTAGCGATCATGACCACTTTTTGCGGCGGACAGTTTTATGGTTTTCTTTTGTTTTAAACCTCCTTGTAAGTGACATCTTGTTGCATGGTCTTACATGATGTACATGTATTTCTGTGTTTGCTGCGTGTACTATACTGCTCACAGTATACATAGAACATTAAGTGACAACATGGAACTGCACATACATGTATCATAACTTAAATTAAATTATCTTCTATATTTAAGAAGATGACTGAGTCCAGAAACTCTTCTCCGAAGAGATCCCCCATGGATCGATTCAAGAGCTTATTTCCAAAGGAGTGAACAAATTGGAAAAAATCATTGATTTTTTTCTCGCATGATTATCATTTCTCTGCAGAGTGTAATGCATCAAGTAAGAGAAAGAGAAAGCTGCCACATGTAAGAGCAACTGAAGAGGGGCTTCACAAGCCAAAGAGGAAGAGGAAAGAGAAATCGGACAAGAGATTGCACAACACTATTGCTATTGCTACAACTGTATCTGAATCAGATTCAAATTTAGGACATAATTCTTATGGTAATGGGAAAAACTCAAAAGGCAAGAGTTTTAGTCAAGGTACTTGTGGTGTCAGCCACAGACAGACAAGATCAACTGTGAGAGGTATTAACAGACTATGTGGAAGTTCTTGCAATAAGTTATATGTAAATCTGAGGCAGAGAGAGAGCGATAACTATCTTGGCGATGAAAGCAATGCTGTTGCTGATGACGAGAGTGGAACTGACAAAGGCATCTTAAATTGCAGTCATAGAGAGCATGTGGATTCTGACATAAGACATGAAAAGGAAAGCATGATCTTGTCTGCAAATAATGAAGAGGGCGTCCAATCTTGTGATGACCAGTCTGATGTTGATAATGAATACAATGAGGTAGCAGTCGATGGGATAAAAAGAAAACTCTCCTTTAGTGTTTCTTGCAGAAGACAAGGTGACAGTGGTGCAACCTGTCATGGAAAGGAAAGTTCAACAGCCTCAAATAGAGATAAATCCAAGAAAGTGAAAGAAACTCTTTTAACAAAACAAAGCTGTGCAGATAAAAGTGATGGCAAGTGTGGAGACGAAAGCAGGAAAGGAAGTAATTTATTAAAATCAAACCATCACAGTGAAGATTCTAATGGTGAAGATTCTTATAGTGAGTCTGATTCAAGTTCTCTGTCTGACAATGTGGATCAAATAGTTTTTGATAATGTTGATTTGAGTGATTATGAGGGACCAGTGCTACGCAGTGCACAAAAGCAGACAAAAAATAATATACAACACAAGTCTTCAGTGGCAGAAAATTCCTGTGGGGATATGAATAGAAGGATCAACGACAAACCCAACACCACCCCTAAATGTAAGTAAAAAGGTTCAAGAACTTATGAATGGTTTGTTTTATAAATTATGTATATAGCTAAACCTCTGCCAATAGTCAGCTTTCCAGAGCTGACAGTATTTTTTCATTTCGCTAGATACATTAATTAAAATAAAAAATTAATAACCTCTGTACAACGCCCACTTACATGAACAGTGTGTACATGTAACTCTGTCCTTAAGGTTAACATTTTGAAGAGATGTGACTGTTTATTATGTTGTGGTCATTTTATCATAAGTTCGAATTTTATTTTGTTTGTTTTACCATCTATGGCCATAAAATATTCCCAAACCAAAGGACAGTAAATTTAACTGGAGGTAATCTTGACTCATTTGCATTGTACATGGTTGCATTTTGAGGAAAGGACCAGCATATGCAAAATCCATACATGTGCTATGAAAGTAAATGTATTAAAACTTTAACATTCACCTCTTTTGGATGCTCAATTTGAGGGTGTTAAAACTCTCTCAGCTGGCGAAGTGCTTATAAAACTTAGGGAAGTTCTGAAAGAAAACTGCGCTGTTCAGAACATTTGTCGTAAATGTAACATGAATTATTATGTCTTAGTGACCGAGCATGAGGTCAAGGTGGCTTGATATTGGCCAAGTTGTGTTTTAATGGGCCGAGACGAATTTGGCGTCAATACATGTTCATGTACAAATGCCCTAAGAGGAGGTCAATATCCAGCCATCTTGAGTGAACTAGCCTGTTTGAAAAAGAATCTATGACTAAGAGAACTTTTTACTTGCGGGAGCAAAGCGGGAATTCCCGAGAGGGCGAAGTAGGTTCATCTTGCCCACTCGGGTAGCCAATCAGAACACTAGATTCCCTTCATCTTTCCCGCTCGCGAACCAGCCATATAATAGCGTTAACTCTTACCAGCATACATAGTACACCGTTGTTTGCAAAGCCAGCTGTCTCTCCCACGGACGGTCGAGGCGAAATGTCCCTAGCGGCGAAGAGCGAGGAGAGATTCGCTGTCTTCGCCGGCTAGTTCAGTTGAGAGGCTTGTCTTTTTAGATCATTCTTTGTTCTATTATACTGCAGGTAGAAAAGAGAAATCCATCAATAAGCAACATAGTCAAGACAATCGAAGACTTCCACTGGGAATAGGGAAAAACGTTCAGATTCGAGTTAGTCCTCTATCGACCCCAAACAAACCTAGACGTTTACAAGCAAAAGAACAGATGTCACGGATCAAAAAGAGCAGTGGAGGGACTCTTGATAAACCAAGAGAAAAGGGTCAAACGAACCAGATCGAAAGGACTACTGAATTGAATCAGGAAAATCCTGAACGGTCACAGACTGGAGAAAAAACATATCAGAAAGATGCTGTTCAGGAGTCAGAAAATGCGTTTATAAGAATTTTTTTGGACGACATGCGAGAACTGCAATGTGAGAGTAAGCGTGATGATGACTCTACAAAAAAAAGTCTGGGACAGCGAGGACACTCAAACACCGGTGCCATAGTTCTATCGCCTTTAAGGTCGCCAGAACGTCGCAGTCAAAGAAGAAAAGAAGAAATACATAAATCAACATCAAAGGTGGCAGATTGGCTTAGTACACACGATATCTCAACTGGTATCAACTCAAAAGCAACAGAAACATGTCAGACTGAACCTGGCCGCGAAGGTGAGAATGGTTGTTATTTAGCTGGAATTTTTCCTCAAAAGAAAACGCTGGCGTTGGGACACCGTGTCCAGAGGAACCCTTCCAAGCAATTATTACGTACACTGTACAGTTTCTTGATCGGCTTTAGGTTCATTCCTTCATCTCCCCATTCCTCCCTCCATCAATGTTGCGCCCATAAAAGGACTTTATTTCCACCCATTTTATTTAAAATTCAATATTGTTTGTGGTGGAAAGTCGCCCGTTTTACTGATAATTATCACTTGAAGGTCCCGGCACCTTTGCTCTAAGGACATTTTTTTTATCGTCTTTGGATTCATTCCTTCATTCTCCTATTCTCCAGCCATGTTGCGCCCAGAAAATGACTGTATTTCCACCGATTCCGTTCAAAATTTTAGCATTCTTATGGGTTGGAGGTAGGGGAGCTCGCTTGTTTTACTTCCCAGCGCTTTTGACCTTCATTGTATTCCGCTTCATGTGACATCCAACTGATGTCAACCAATATGTCCAAAAATGAACTTTGAAAAATTGTTAGGCTAACCTTTCTTCAAAAGTCACCATCGCAATCCGTTTCAATCTTCACCAGGTTTGTCTATTGTGCCTTCTTTTGAACACTGTTTTTGCTCTATTATTTATTCCTACTATTAATGTTGTAAGCGGTTGTCTGAATTTCGGTAGATCTCGTGACAGCTTCATGTACTTTAATATTCGTTGTTTCTGTTGGTATTACAGCTCCGTCAAAACGTGTCATCAGTACCAGAGCAACTGCTAGAGACCGAAGTAGAGAGGCTTCAAAGAGGGTAGCAAGAAGCGACGATAACTGTGATACTTACTGCAATGAAGGTAATGAGCGAGGAAGCGCTGACAGTGTTAGCAGTGACAGAAGAATGATCAACGGAACAAGTTTATCTGAAGGATCGCCACTTCAAGGCCGATCAGAAGAGAAAACAGACGAAGGCGTGAACGAGCGTTCGATGATTCAGTCCACACTGCGACAGAATAACGTAAATCGTTTGACAAGTGGAAGGCCTCCAGTGTCTCCTGCCGGACCGAGGTTTGCTGGCATGACTAAGCAATGCCTGGTCAAGGTACAAAAACTGCCTGTTCGTAAACAGAACGGAGAGCTAAAGCTTATACCATTTCAAGGGATTCTTCTCAATGAACACAGTGCCTCTTGTTTTGATGAAGAAGGCGATAAAACGTTCGGCAGAACCTACAATCCGGGCCCTTTAGAAATAAGTGCCGAGTTAAAAAAAGCAAAAACCATGGAGGCAGAGATTGATCGTTCAGAAATTCAGGGGAAAGATGAAGGAGGGGCAACAGACGAAAACCAGACCATTGATAATCCACCGACAACTCGATCTCCTGCAACACAAACTAAAACCCCTTCTCCTAAACCAGTTAGACCTACAGCAGACTTACGTCCACAGATGCTCTCTTCGCAAGAAGGCCCCAGTGACAGACTTGTGGTTCATAGTTTGGTTGACCGGGAAGGAACTGAGGATTTAAAAAGCAAAAGGAGTGGGGTTCCATTGTCAAAATCAAAGCGTGATTGTTACAGTCTCTTAGAAAACGATGAAGAAAATTTGAGCTCTTCGAAAAACGATGCAACAGATAGTGATGCAAAGTGGGTCGCACCTAAACGGGAGAAGGGGAGTGTGAAAGCAATATCAAAGAAAAGGAAACGAATGCCTCAAATGGAAAATGTGGACACTGGATCCGTAAATCAAGGTAAGGCTCTGCACGGAGGCACATCTATAACAAAAGAGCTTCAGTCGCTGAAAAATTCGCGCTGCGAAATGAGAGACAATGCAGAGCCGCCAGCAAACCTGAACAATATTCCGATTCACGTGGATCGATTGCGTCATGACGAAAGAGATATTGATGAGGGTAGAGGGGCCACGAAAGAAGGGTTAAACCCTAAAAGGGGGCAACAATCAAGGGAAGATCAGCTGCCGTCTTCTAAACAAGAAGCTGCTCAGTTGCTGGAAAACCAAAGTGATTTCTTTCTGAATGGCGATGTTAGTAACACAGAAGTGAAAAAAAGGCCAGGTACAGAAAAGAACTGCTGTGAATTGGAGGAAGACCGAAATGTCGGAGATAGTGGGTGGGACTCCACCGTCTGCGAAAGTGATGTGTTCTCCGCAGATGGGAAACGTTACAGAGTAGAGAAAGGTGTCTCCAAAGACAAAGAGACGATGAATATTGCGGGAAAAAGGCAAAAATGTTCTCTAAAACATCAGGAAAGTTCGGAACTGGTGAAAGACAATATAACTGGTGGACGTAAACAAGGGCAACAAAGTAAATCTCAAAGTGCGAGTGACGGTTCTGGGAAAAATGGCATTTCCACGGAGGATGATTTGTGTAATAGAAATAGCAGGAAAGGGCCAGTGGTGTCGGCGGATCGATTAGTGAGTAGAAGAAAAGAATCAAAGCATTCTATCAGTTTGGAACCGTTGCAGGATATTGACTCTATCTTAGACATACAAGAACGAGAATCTGAATCCGTTGAAACGTTCACTGAAGACCTTGACAAAAAGAGTGAACCGTCGGAAGATCATCTTAATAATAACCTGAGCATTGGGCAAAGTACCACTGACTCGGTTGATCGAGTTGTCAGTGGAAACAAAGGGTCAAAACAATCCAGTAAAAGAAAAGAACGACAAGGTGAGGAATCTCCTGTAACTAAAAACCAGAAAGAGACCGAATCTATTGACCCAGTGGATAGTAACTTAAGCGTTGACGATATTGCTGATCGCAGAAATACTGGGCAAAACACCGTAGATTCCGTAGGTCTACCGGGCAGTCGAAAAGGAGAATTCGGGCATTCTAATTTTACGGAACAGGTGCAAGATGTTGACTCTAATGTATCAGCGCAAGAGCAACAATATGATTCTAAGGCAACTTCCAGAGAATGCCTAGGGAAAGGTGACAGAAGGACAATAAATAGTTTGCACAACAGCAATGAGAAACGGTTGCAAGACAGTGTCGCCGTTGTATCTGAAAAAGTTGAAATATCTAGTTCTGAGGCAACAGTTATGGCAAGCTCCAGTCAAAAAGGCAAAATAGCGAGAACTAATTTCCACCTTAACAATAAGGAACGGGTGGAAGATAGTGACTCCGTTGTATCTCAACAAGAGGAAATATCTGATTCTGAGGCAACTGCAACGATAAAGTCCAGGAAAAACGACGATACAAGGAAAAATAATTTGCACTCTAGTAATACGGAGCAGTTACAAAGTGTTGTCTCTGATGTACTTGAAAAAGAGCAAATTTCGGATGCTGAGGCAACTGCTTGTGCGAGCTCCAGGAAAAATGGCAAAACTCCAATAAACAGTTTGCACTCCAGCAATACGGAACGGCTGCAACACGTTGACTCCGTCGTATCTGAACAAGAGCAAATTTCGGATCTTGAAGCAAATGCTGTTGGAAGATCGAGGAGAAAATTGCGGTCCAGCAGTACGGAACAGTTGCAAAGTGACACTGTTTTATCGGTACACGAGGAGGATTCGGATTCTAGGGCAACTGCAAGTGTAAGCTCCAGGAAAAATGACAAAACGAGGAAGAATATTTTGCAATCCAACAGTTCGAAACGGTTGGAAACGAGAAATAGTTTGCACTCCCGCAAAACAGAGCAGTTGCAAGATGTTGGTTGTGTTGTACCTGAACAAGAGGAAATTTCGAATTCTAACGCAACTACCAGTGCAAGCTCCAGAAAAAATGACAAAACAGGGGAAAATATTTTGCAGTCCAGCATTCCCGATCAGTTCCAAATCGTTGGCCCTGTTGTATCTGTAGAAGGGCAAATATCTGATTCTGGGGAAAGTGCTATTGCAAATACTAAGAAAAATGGCCAAATGAAGAATAGGAAAAGTAACAAAAGAGACATGGAATTCTTACATAGACTGAAAAGACAAAGAGAAACAACAAAGCACTTTAACAATACGGAAATGTTGGAGGGGATTGATGCTGCTGTTTTCGTCGAGGAGAAAGAACCTGATTCCGAGGAAAATGCCATTAGTGGTTCCAAGAAAAATGACAAGACGCAAAATAGCAATAAAAAAAGACACACGGAGTCCTTGCATGGACTGGAAAGACGAATAGAAACAACAAAACATTCCAACAATACAAAAGTGTTGCAATGTATTGACTCTGCTGTATTTTTCAAAGAGAAGGAGTTTGATTCTGATGCAACTACCAGTAGTGGTTCCAAACCTAATGACAAGGCAATGAGAAATAGTAATATTAAAAAACACACGGAGTCCTTACGTGAACTGGAAAGACGAAAAGAAATAACAAAACATTCCGACAATACTAAACAATTGCACGGTATTATATTAGAACAGCGACAAAAAACTGATTCGAATGAAATTTCGAGTGGAAGTGACGGAGAGGACGACGAAACAATAAACGATAATATCTCCGGTAAAGGTAGCAGCACTAAGAGGGCCATGAACTCCTTTGATGGACAAGGAACTAGTAAAGGAAAATCAAAACGGCATACGGAACAGTTGGCAGATGTTAACTCTGGTGAGCGAGTACCTACAAAACAGCAAAAAACGGACGTTTCTGCCATGGTCAGAGCAAGCCGCGGGGAGAGTAGCAGATCAAACAGAGATCATATGCATAATTACAGAGGCAGTAGTAAAACCGCAGTGGAATCTGTATATCGATCGAGCGGTGAAAATGAAAAATCCAAACAATTCAACCTTAGTTCCTTTAAAAAAGACAGAGCTTCAGAAAAAGACAGAGAGGTTTTGATGGAGAGAAGCAATACTTATGTTGGTAAATCTTGTGTTAATAACAAAGATGGGTCGATATGTCAGAAGCAGGACGTGTCGTCTTCAAAACGAAAGGATTCCAGAAGCTCTTTTGATGACAATATACAGACAGAAAGTGAAACAGATAAGGAGGAAGGTAAGTACTTTTTAAAATTAATTGAGCAGCCAGGGCCCTGTTGTTCGAAAGATGGATAGCGCTATCCATTTGACAAATCTCTATCCAGTGGATGGCGCAATTGATTTCCCTAATACTTATCTAGCCCCAGTTGTTCGAAAGGTGGATAGCGCTATCCACTGGATAAATTACTATCCAAAGGATAGCGCAGTTGGTTTTCGTAATACTTATCCGCTGGATAGCGATTTATCCGGTGGATAGCGCTATCCACTGGATAAATTACTATCCAAAGGATAGCGCAGTTGGTTTTCGTAATACTTATCCGCTGGATAGCGATTTATCCGGTGGATAGCGCTATCCACTGGATAAATTACTATCCAAAGGATAGCGCAGTTGGTTTTCGTAATACTTATCCGCTGGATAGCGATTTATCCGGTGGATAGCAATTTATCCGGTGGATAGCGATTTATCCGCTGGATAGCGATTTATCCGGTGGATAGCGCTATCCGACTTTTGAACAACCGGGACCTGGCCCCAGTTGTTCAAACGTTGGATAGCGCTATCCAGCGTTTGAACAACTAGGGCCTGGCTGATATTATGTAGCAGAATTAAGTTTGCAAGACATTAAAGGGGTTAATTGTCACGACGATTTTGCTGTTTTGGGTCAATTCTGTTCTCACGTCATTACTTAGTTCCTTTACCCATACAAACATGCTCCTGTAGAATTATGAAGAAGATATCAAACAAATTTAATCAGAGAGCACTAACCTTAATAAGTTTTTTGGTGACTTTTGCAGGTATATTAATAGTATTAAAACTTGGAAAAGTTGGCCGAACTTTTTCAAGTTTCAATCCACGTCCAACCGTGCCATCCGTAGCTGTAGACGACAGGAAAGAGTTTCAATTCCTAAATATGGTCTTAAATAACACAACTGTACCATTAGTTTTGGAAATCAATTGATGTCAAGTTGCGTTTTATCTTAAAAAAGAAAACAAAGAGCGTGGTATATCCCATTGAACAAGGAATTGACAGGATTTAACAGAGCAGAGACGGTTGTTTTGCCCTTAAAAGTATAGACCTTGAGATCCTAGGATGAAGACGAGTTTCAACTTAAAGTTGTTTCGTGTACAGTCGAACCTCTCTAATACGGACACCAAAAGGACAGAGCGAAGTGTCCTTATTAGAGAGGTGTCCGTATTAAAGAGGTCACTACGATGACGTCACTTTTATGACTCCACTTACACTTTTCAGTGTTCAGTAGCTAAAACCGAGAGGTTCGACTGTATTCTCAAAAAAACCGACACGTCGGAAAGCTTCATTGCAGTTTTTTTCACCAGAAGAGTGAGCACGGTTATTTTTAATGAAGGAGGTTAAGCCCTCTCCAAAGCGCAAAAGAATAAAACATTTACTAACTTGCTTCCGCCACTACGACATTCTCGCTAAAACCCGTAGTTGAATGACGACGGCGATCACGTTGTCCCACCAAAATGACGATGGTTAACGCGCGTGTACTACTTAGCATTGAGAAAATCTCGTCTAGTATTAGAATCTAAAGGTCCCTAGTATCGGTTAGAAATAGCTGGAAACGTGACATGACAATGACATGACAGTGTTGAAGGTTTGTTTGGACATACCCACAAAATCACACATCACCTGTGTCTCTAAAGTGTGCTCCCAGCTGCCAAGCATACATGTCGATGCGTCGCAAAGGCAAACAATATATGCATAACCAAACGCGGAGAAATTGGCACAAAACAACGACGAAGTAGAAAGCATACTGGACTTAGACTTTAGACTTACTAACTCGACAGTGACTAGTTATGAAATGGCGTTTCTCAGTCACTCAGCTAAGTTTTTGGAGATAAAAAATTCAATTTTTCTCACTTGTAGCATATATTATATGTTTCTCATTTATAGGAGACGATAGCAAAGCACGGGAGTTGCCGCTGCAATTAGCACCCTTTAAGGAAGGCAAACACATCGTGTGGATGAGAGAAAGAACTGAACAAAAAGCCGACGAGGAGACTGGTCATGCGAAGGCAATAAGGCGTCATTGTATGAAGGCTGACAAATCTGCGGTCCAATCAGAAGATAGCAGCCAATCGGAAAACGAAAACACTGGTGTTGGACGAAGCCAGAGTTTTGTTAAGACAAATGAAAGTAAGGCAAATGTAAGCGCTTTAAACGGGGAGACAGGTCTGGAGAAAGGACAAAGCACTATCACAGAGAAGGATGTATCGGATTCTGAAGGTGATCTTGAAAACAGAGTCGAAGGGAATGGAAAGATCATAGAACAGGGGTGTGATAAAGGAAGTGACATGGAAGTAAATGGAATTAGAGAAACTGATGGTAAAACTATTGTTGCCAAACAGGAACCTAAAAAACTCACGCACCAAAGAGAACAGCAGCGAATGAAGACAACTTTCAATTTCCAAAAAAACTCAGGAAACTATACATGCAATGAAGAGGGAGTGAAAAAGCGCAAGAAAAGTAAAAATAAAGATTGTTTGAATGAAACAGAACAAAAGGAAAGTGATAGAAACTCAAGTGATGAAGAATTCGCAGACGATGGAGTGACAGAAAGAAATGAAGACAACTCTCAATTTCTAGAAAATACAGTAAACCACACGTGCAATGAAAAGGGAGCGAAAAAGAGTAGGAAAAGGAAAAATAAAGATTTTTTTACTGAAGCAAAGGAAAAGGAAAGTGATAAGGACTCAACTGACGTAGAAATCGTGGACAATGGCGTGGAAGAAAAGAATGAAGACAACTCTCAATTTCCAGAAAATCCAGGAAACCATGTGTGCAATGAAGAGGTAGCGAAAAAGAGCAGGAAAAGTAAAAGTAAAGATCTTTTGAGTGAAGCAAAGCAAAAGAAAAGTGATAGGGACTCTCACGTAAACGAAAAGAAGGATAAACAAAGTCAGGTGGTAGAAAGACCGGAACTTTACAGAACGGAAAATGAGAAAAAGAGGAAAAAGAAAAAAAAGATAAGGAAATATGATTCGCCTTCACCTCAGAAAGAAAGTGGCCTCAGAGGTGTGCCAGAGGAAAAGTGGAAGATGGAGGAATCGGTTGACTTTGGGACAATCAAAGAGATAAAGAAGGGGACGAAAGAAAGATCGAGCAAACCAGGTAATTGAACTACTGTAAATAAGTTTTCTTTTCTTTTCTTAATTACCAGCATTATGTAATAATTAACATTGTGACTGAAAAGCCCTGTTGAAGGGAGTCTCAATGAAGTATGTATGTATGTAAGTATGTATTTATGTATGTAAGATTCCTTTCTTTTAGGGCATGCAATTAAACAACTTCATGCAAGCGTTGATTTGCCAGTATTCAGGAATGCGCCCTAACAATTGTAGGATTGCAGGTACAAATCAAGCTAAACACTGCAAAACAGCCTCACTCTAGACTTTCGTTTTACGCCTCGCGCGCGCGTTCCTAAAAATGCAGGCGTTTTTGCAGTCTAAAGGGAAACAGGGAGCGTTCTCTCTGCAGCTTGGTAGTGGTCTACTCATAAAATAGCTGTAGTCGGAAATATAAGAATATTATTTCAATGACGTTGAAGCCGTTAGTTATATTAAACAGTACTAAAACAACAAACGAAATGGCATATAGCAACTTGATTAACACGTGCGACTTTTGATTAAATGGTGAACAGTAAACCTAAACATGTTTTTTTAAGCTCCCGTAAGCGGGCCCCTGAAATGAAATTTTCCACACACACGGTTACACTTGAAAAGACCATTTGAATTTTATGCTTGTGACCAGCCAAACACTAACATTTGTACTCCCAGTATTGATTTGTAGCTGTGCAAACTCCCATAACTGACCATCTAACCCTTACACTTCTAGTGGCTGCTTACGACAGCTTCTACTGTATATTAACATCCGCACTACATGACCTTTAACCGACTCTCTCCTTGCAGCACAGTTACTGTTCTTTAGTGTTTTCATTAAAAGCATAGAACTTTAATACGTGTTTAGCTATTGTGACGTAACATTGAGTCAATCAATTTTGGCCCACAGAAGAGAAAAAAGAGAAGAAGAGAAAAAAGAAAAAGAAAGAAAAGAGACAAAGTGAGTCACCTACCTCACTCAACGACAGTGGTTACAGAACTTTAACCGAGGTCAAGGATGAAATGAAAGAATCAGATGAGTTTGAGGAAAACAAAGCAAAGGAGAAATCAACTGATCCAGGTACGAGTTCTTTTTCTCTTCCGACCCTATTTATTAGCGTCCTACAGAGGGTTACTTCGCAAGATTCTTTAGGAAAAATAAAAGCTGTGTATCAACGCCTCTATAGTTATCTGGAGGAATTAAAAATACATTACCCACTTCAATTTGGTTTCAGGGACAAAAGTTCGACAACTCTTGCACTTATTTCTATCACTGAATGTATTTGGCTGTGGCGTATTTATAGATTTGAAAAAAGCTTTTGATACTGTTAACCATACAATTCTACGAACTAAGCTTCACCAGTATGGAATAAGAGGTGTTGTATGTGATTGGTTTAAGTCTTTTTTAACCCAAAGAGAGCAGTTTGTATGTGTTAATGGTCATAACTCGATTTCCTTACTTGTGACTTGTGGTGTTCCACAAGGATCCATTCTATGACCACTTTTATTCTTGTTATATATGAATGGCCTACTTTCGTCACACTCGTTTCCTGAAACGTGTACCAAGTGGCCATGCTCCCTTTAACTCCCCTTTTCAAAGGCCTAAAGCAAAGACTCCGGGTCCTGGGCATGGCTGTGGTATCCTGTGTTTGACTAAATCAGGTAATTGTTTATTTGCCGATTTGGCTTGTAGTTCGCTATATTTCCAGAGGTTTTGGTTAAGAAGCGATTTATACTCGGCCATTTAAAACTTTTGCAAATAAATTCACCCATCTGGCGTAAAATTGTGACCACTAGCGCAACGTTGTGTTAACACAAAATTACAAGTACATACATTTGGTGGTAACTTCAGCAATGGAGGGGCATAACGAAACCACCCTGTAGAAAATCAGTTTAGACTGATATTTGGCATGAGCCGTGGGGAACGGGTGTGACGGAGGAAAACTAGAAAGAAGTTAAGCTGGACAGTGCAGGTAAACTAAACAGTAATAATGAGCCTGCCTACTTACATCTGTTTGGAGACATCTTCGTAAAATGATGCCATTCCCTGCTTTACCCAACTTGAATAACTGACTGACTGGATGTGTTTCAATTAGCTAAGAAAACGGCTCGATATAAAATTAAAACGGATTTTATTGTGGGGTTTTTGAAAACTTTTTAGCCTAACAGTTTTCAAAGTTCATTTTTGTTGTTTTTAAAGTTCGATACAATGCTTGGGAAGTATATTTGTTGGACAGTGTTAAACTTTTTTCGACAGTGAAAGTTGCATCATTATTTTTCTTTACAATTTTTGCGACTTGTAAATATGCTTTGCTTATTATTTTGAAGACGTTCCGACCGAAGTTTGGAAGCCAAGCTCTGAACACACGCAACAGAAACCAGTAAAGAAAAAGAAAGCCAAATTACTGTCTCTGTTGGATCTGGCACAAGACGGTGAGTGTTTTTTTTGTCTCTAGAGTAGAAATTGTGAACATAAAAATATTAGTTTTAATGACCTCTTCGATGTGTGCTGGCATTTCGTTTTTTATTTTTATTTTTCATTTTGCTGCACTACTAATACCCGGCATGATAACAAGTTAAACTACAGGGTGTCCCAAAAGTTCGTTCCACTACTTAATAAGTCTGTATTTCAGTACGATTGGACTTGGTAAGGAAATCATTTCAACCAAAGTTGTTTCTTTCAATATAATTCACTGTTTTCATACTTGTTGTGCCATCTTTTGACTCGAATATTCGATTTGTGTACTTCCGCGCCATAGGTGCGCGTGCGATAGTATATTTTCCAGCCACTTTTTTTTTGTATTTCATAGCCTGAATTGCTCGAACTTCTTCCTTGTTTTTTTGTGAATATCACAAAGGATAAACTGCCTTAACGCAAAAACGTTCAGCTGCGTGAGAGCATAAGCCTGTATACTTCGATTTACTGGCTTATCTGTTGTAGAAATTGCTAAAAAACTCGAATGTTGGGTGGTAAAGTGATCATGGAGAAATGAAGGTTTTGAAGGCAAGAAACTAAGGGGGAGACCAAAAGTCCTGAATAAAGCAGCTAGAGTAGTTTTAAAGAAGGCTAGATACATAATAGGAGACTCGACAAGGAAGCTCAGTCTCACACAGTTAGCAAGCCAAATAAAAGGGTCGTGAAAAGCTGTTTAAAATGTTTAAAATTAGAGGCCCCTAAGATGGCAAAAAAAACCTCTGCTTAGTCTGCCAATTAACGCCCAGCTCGTTTCAAATTTGCAAAGGAATACAAAAGCTTTGCTGTGGAAGGGGGCCGGGATGGTTATCTTTTTTGGATGAATGCCCACAAAATATATTTTTGTTCAGCTCCCTAAACTAAACGAATTTTGTTTGGGGGTTGAACTGGATCCTGCGTACCAGGTGATAAAAAAGCTCAAAATGGATCCAAACGCTGTACCCCACTTCATGCCGCAACGGCATGAAGTGGGGTACGGCATGAAGTGTGTTAGTTCGGATCCACTCCGAACCAAAAGTAAAAAAAGCAAGCACTTGCTTTTTTTAACACGGTTTTAGCCAGACTTCACTTGTACGAGAATCATGCCCATAATGCGGCCAGTACTTTCTGTATGGCCGCGCGCTGATTTTACTTTGTTTTTATTATCCTTGTACATATTCAGCGGAGCAAAAAGGCAGCAGCACGGCAGAGAATAACAAAACCATTTCAACTGCTAGGAAACAAGACCATAATCTGAAGCGACATTTTCGGCAAACACCCAAAGGATTCATTCACACCGTGAAGAACAGAAAACTCTCTGCTTCAACATCGACGATACATGTCAGGCGTAAACCGCGGGCAAACCCTAAAGAAAACCTACAGTTCAAAGGCGTGGCTGCTAAAGAGAAGGACATGATTGCTAGGGAACTCAGCTTTGAGGAACTTCTTAATGATGATTCCTTCTGGAACACTTGATCTGCTAAGTAATCACGTGATACCGAAATAGTCTCAGCTTTCTTGAACATCATTCTTACCAAAGAGGTCATTTGATTCGCTCATCTTTCGTATCGGCTGTGAACGAGTTTTCAATTGTCACGAGAGTATGAAGGCCAGAGCCGCAGCAAGCGAGCGAGTAAGGGGAACGAGGGAGTAAGAGAAGGTACCACTCCCGCCAGGGATTTAACATCTTTTCTGAGTAACACGAAACGAATCCACCCCAAAACATCCAACTCGGGAGCCTGCTTGCAGGCTATTTGCTTAGCAGGGCGCTGTGACCTGCTATCTTAGAGGTTATTTTGTTCCTTGTTTAAGCAAGTCGGCATCGTCTCAGCATGCTTTGTTCAATATTAGAGCCATTTATACGAGGAAAAATAAGACGCGTCTTACATAAGACGCGTCTTAAATAAGACGCGAACTGTACCATTTATACGAGCATGTCTTATCTAACAAGACGCGTCTTAGCTAAGCCGCGTCTTATTTTAGACGAAATGTGCCGTTTATACGGAAAGTTCGCGTCTTATGTAAGAAGCGTCTTATTTTTCCTCGTATAAATGGCCCTATTGTTCCAATGTGGGGACTTACCGTGACAAGTGCAGCTCAGTTAACGATTTTTATGTCTTAACGTTTAGTCCATTCGAAGCAAAGTAGTTTCTTTGGTTTCTTGGTCCTCTTAGTTTTGACACTTTTGTAGTATTCCTGGTCACAGAGTCTTCGTTTTTACTTTGCTTAGTTGTCACCAATAATTTGTTTGACAACGCAGATTCCTATAGTTGAAAATTATATTGACTGAAATAAAATGCATGAGACTTGACTGAAGTCACTTTAGGAGTCTGTTTGTCATATGGTCAGTAATACCTAAATGATTTTACAACAAAATACCTTTTTCTTTCTACAATGGCGCTCAAATATTGAGGTGTTTGTACACAATACTTCAGCCTTAGTGGTACTCGTACAAAAGCAATTCCCCCAAGCAAATCAGAACAAAGGTGTTAATGAAGCAAGTATTTCCCTTTACGCTTTGCGAGAGCTCTCTTTTAAGTTTGAAAATCAACTGAGCGCGTTCGATTGGTCGCATTTCTGAATAAGAATATGCAAAAGTTTTGTTACAAATCTCTTTTACCGTGATTTTTGACTTTCGGGATATTTATTTTAAGCAGATCTCTAGATATTGCAATGCAATGAATGCCAAAACAACTGATTTCTAGAGTTAATTCCATTTATTCTTACCTTGGAATACAGTCAATCGAACTCGCCCTTAAATATTAAAAAGAAAATTATTCATTAAAATATTATTTAGGAAACCGAGCACATTCTTCAAGTGTATAGAAGGAAGCCAAACCCCCAAAATATAGTTTTACTAATTATATTTATTGAATATACATTACCTATTTCGCGGTTTCGTAAAATCGCTTGCATGATTTGATATTTATTGAAAGGTACAACTAAAGATGTAATGCTATTAAAAGTTTATTTGTGTGTATGATATATGAAAGCATGAAACAAACAATCGTTTAAAATAACTTAAGGTCAACTTTGATCATTTCCAATGACGAGTGTAATGATTGTAGAACACGACAAGAAATTCAACAGCGAAACAGTTCGACGTCGTTCGCTTAGTTGTTGTTTTCTAGAAAACGCGGCATAAAATTTTTACGTGCGTAAATGAAATATAGGCAGATAGGTGCGGTTACACACACCACGGTAGAAGGCATTTCCCACGTAAACGACGCCGTGGTAAATTTTGACGTAGGTTTAGTTTACCGTGGTAACATGTGACTACACATGAATTAATTCCCAAGTTAATTTAACCGCTTTTACGGCTTCATTTGCGCTGTTGCGGTAATAATCGCCATGGATGATGGGAGTATTTCATGTTATGTTGAAAATTTACGAAGAGTTTAGCTGAAATTTCAACTGGTATGTTAGTCGTGATAATTTAGCGAAGGTATATAGCGTTTTTTTCTTAATCTTGACCCTAGATTCGATTTTACAGTTCAGCAACAGTTCTGCTACATCCCATTGGCCGATTACATGCCAGCAATAGAACAATTTTCTTGGGTGGGAATATCGTTCCCAAATTTAGCCCAACAAACCAATTCATTCGATCTCTTAATTCTCTCAACCGCGCGAAAAAAAAGCAAAACAAAATAAAAATAAAAAACACCAGAAAAAAGAGAAATTTTTTGGTGGTTTCATGTTGTTTTCAAATGAAGAAATTTGATTGGCTCTTTTGCCTTGGGAATCGAAAAACCCTTGCTTGCTACTTACCACGTTAAATGTCATGGCTGGTTTCCTTTATTCTTTTTGACGCAACCATGGATATTTCCTATGGAAAATTTATCTCGGAAAAGTCCGGTCACACGCACCACGCCAAGTTACTGCAGTAGAAGGGTCATTTACCACGGTAAAAATGTCCCGTGTAACCGCACCTAATGTAAAAGTAAAAGTTGAACACGCGGGCCTTTCACACATTTCTTCTATTATTATTTACGCGAGTAAAATTTACGGCGTACGCACTTAAAAACTTTGTGACAGTCGAAATCCACCTTAACCGTGGCATTTTTTGCGATTGTCGCCTTTTGAAGTTCTCAAACTTTCTGTTATTGCAACTTGATTCAATAATCGCTTAAAAACCTGGGTACTTGCCTGAACTCTATTCTTAAAAACAGTTCCATCGTTTTTTTGTCTGCATCCTTTTTTAGAGGCGCTGCTTAAAAGTCTTGTTTTGAGTCGTAACGATTTAGTTTAAGCACATGACGCCATAATACTTAGATGACGTGGCGTTAAAGCGGGTAAATGAGCGCGAGCCTTGGAACAAACGCGCTTTGGCAGGGGTTAAAGCAAAACGTGTTAATTGTTCCAAACAGCAAAAACGATCATACATGTTTATGGTAAGAGAAACACCATGGAGTCGTAAAAGCGTAACTTCATCGTTTTTGTATGAAAGAGGAACCGACTTTAAAATGGAAATACTTGCACGTGCTCAAGACCAAAAATAAAGAGAATTTTTGCAACAAAACTCGAAATCCCATCCAAAAATTATATTCTCGTTTCAGTCACCGGCAGTCATCATGAGCTGCGATCGTGAAATTAAATGATACAGTCAAACTCTGTTAATATAGACGCTGAGGGGGCCATAGAAGGGGTCCGTTTTAACGGGGTGTCCGTATTAAGGGGGTCGTGTTATTTAAGCCAAAAAACACCATTGCCTAGAACATAATTATAAAAAAATAAAAAAGGACATTGCTATGGTCAAATTAGACATCTCTAACCTTCACAAAGCCGGCATTCAGCGGACTAAATCCAAGGAAACACGAAAAATCGCTCATAATCAAAACTGTGCGTTCTCTGGAAAACTCGTTTGATGCCAAAATAGTCTGAAATTGACGTTTAAAAATGATCGTATCTGGTGTAGGAATGGAGTTATCGAAATGCTATCAACTGAAGGCTTTTTTTTACCTTCAGAAAGGAAAGGTCACACTGTTTATAATACGGACCATGACATGTTTATAGAAAAGTAGGTTCGCACAAAAAATTGGAATTTTTAACCAAAATGATGCACCCCTTTGGAAATATGCAAATTTCTCGACTATAGAAAACTTACATTTTTATCGTGTAAAAAGCCTCCTTTTAAGACATTTACAACTTTACAGACAACAAATTAAAAGTCTTTACTCCAGAAAAGTAGGCTCGAAAGATATTTGGAATTTTTGACCAGAATCATAGTTTAACCCCTTTGGAAATATGCAAATTTTTCGAGTATGGTAAAATGACATTTTTTATCGCCTAAAAAGCCTCTTTTTGAGAAAACAACATCATCAAACGACAAAAATAGGGTCTCTTTTACCGGGGTTATATGTTTCTGCTTTTACAGAAAAGTTGGCCTAAGGATATTTGGAATTTTTTTACCAGAATCATGGGTTAACCCTTTGTAAAATGCAAATTTTTCCAAATATCTTTCGGGAGACTATTCCAAGCCCTCACGGTCCTAGGGAAGTACAACTTGGTAAAGTTATCCTGGTTATGAAAGGACAGAAGACGCAAATTTGCAGGGTCATAATTATTTCAAGTACTGAACTGAGGTACTACGGGAACCAAAAAACGATCAAAATTTGCAGTAACAAGACCAATCTTGAACCTAAACAGGAGAACTATGTCATATGTATCTCTGTGCATCTCCAATGGAAGTATTAAAATCAAGTTGTTCTAGCCCATTTTTGTAAGCTACTTCAACGGGCGGATAATATAATATGACCCTAGTTGGGCGGAGCTGAATATTTTCTAGCAAACTGCAATGTTTTACTGAGTAAGGAGACCAACGGGAAGATGCGTATTCTAATATGGGTCTAACTTACGAAATAAGTAGCTTTCTAGTTGGAACGTCAGATATATCTTGACCGCACATGCGCTTGACTAGACCAAAAACTCTGTTGCCCTGAGCGCACAGTTCCTCAGCGTGAGTGGCTCAAGACAGCTGATCAGTCACAACCACCCCAAGGTCGGAGACTTAGCAAAAGACGCCAAGTTGTGGCCGGAAAGCTGTTGGCTGTGTTGGGGTGCTCGAGAAGATCTCTTCCTGGTCATATTTAAGATTTTACATTTGTTGTTGTTGAACTTTTTGCCATGATCAGTGCTCCAGGTAAGACGGCAGAAATTTCAGAGTCAATAGGGCGGAAGAGCTTGCTGTCGTCCGCGAACAGGGCAATCTGAACCCATGCTGACCTAGGCCTGTCGTTTGTATATGTTGTCGTTAACTATATATCTCAGGGAATTTTAAATTTTCTTTTGTTTCAACTTCATTAGCATGCATTACAATATCCAAAAACAAAGGAAAAACAAATACTACCTGAAAAAAGAGAAACTAACTGCAACATATACACCGGGAAACGTAGTGGGCCCAAAATGGAACCCTGCGGTACCCCAGATGTTACAGTTAACCAGTCAGAAAATGCACCATCCAGGACAACGCGCTGATA